TCGTTGGATGTGAAGAAGTCCATGGTTTGTAAGGCATTTTGGGAGGAAATTGGAAATAACTTACCTGCACACGTGTTAACCCTTGCGCTACGTCGGCGTAGACGAGAGGCACATCCCAAGTGTTCCCTCATTAATTAATCATCCATGCCATAGTGTGTCATATGCCACGGTTACTGCCTCAGACGCAAGAGGCGACTTGATGAATTCTCAAATCGATGCTCTTTAGTTAGGTGGAAAAAGGATTTGGTTAAAATCGAATTTGAAAATGGTAATTTGCACTCAATGAAAAGGGGAAATGTTTTATTTTGTGACATTCTAATGCGACATTCACGCTTATTTAAACAAATGGTGGTAGATTATCCCCTCCTGACTTGTTATTTTAAATGCTGACACAATTAGAAAATGCTGTGTTCTCCTTTCATCGCCTTCGTTTGCTACCAGCTCAGTTGGAGCGAGTATTCGGTGAAGGTTACAACAACCCTATCAGTCATCCTACAGGTACGCAGACAGCAGTGTCAACTGTGCAGGCGTTGCCGGGGCCGCACCTGGAACCGCTTCAACCCCTACCAGCTGCTCTTCCCACTCCTCCTGCTCCTCCTCCTCCTTCTTTGAAGGCGCTGCCTCAACCACCAATCAAAAAACGAACTCCGTCAGAAGTTCGTAGGTTGGAGGAGGCTCTACTGCTTTTTGAGTCTTGAGATGAGAAGTGGTATGGTGGTGTAGGCGCCGATGATGTGATGTACATATGCGCTCGCGTGATTGATGGATTGACTGGACGACTCATACTTATGCCCTTTGTTGCCCACTTCGACACCCACGTGAAAGCATCAATGTCTTCTTCTACTTTGTTTTACGCCTTCTCTCCTCTGCATCCTTCTTCCCTCCACCCTCTCTCACCCTCCCTTCAACCATTCTTTGTCTGGAATACATGCACTTATTGAGGGGGAATATGTGTGGAATATCAGAGGCCCCTCTATTTCAATATCATGTCTGGCAACTTCTTGGCTGTTGTGAAGGATGTGGTAGTTTTTCTAGGCGGTGTTAACGCTTGGAAAGAAAGTGGGGGTAGGTCACTGCCGGCTGGAATGTCAGAGGTTTCGCTATTCGTCAGTTTAGCGCCTATATGGAACATTCACCATTTCTCTGTCTTTCAGCTTTATATAGGGGTTCCTTTTCCACTGCTTGCGAATTGGAACACTTGGCTGTTGGCACACTCGCATTCACTTACTTGAACCAGGAATAAATGTAGATCCTGCACAACCAGAGTTGGCTTTTTCATTCCCCTAGAATATTCTCAATATTTTGTTGCTCAATTCAGCAGTAGGAACGTTCCTAAATTATTTCATTTTGAATATATACAATTCTACTTGTGGTAGATTTTATTTGCATTTGCTGGGCACACATTGATGTAGTCGGCTTTGCAGTCCTAACACACACATTGCGATCACAGTACATGTAGATGGGCTTCACTCTCTCCTTTTATGTTGCGGCTTCATCTGAGGGGTAAATCATGTGTTGAGTGATTGCATTTTGCCCTGTTGGTAGAAAAAGACCCACCCACCTACCCAAAGTACCTGAGAGGACGCCTCCACCTCCTTCAGCCCGAGGAACACATCAGAAGTACCAGGCAGGCATTCGGCTAGCAGGGAGGTAGGAGCTAGTCGACATGCTCTGATTTGAGCGACGCCTCACTATTTGATACTTTCAAGATGAATCAAGAAATTCCCCGAAGTGCAAAGGATTTGTAATTTGTTACACAGGGAGAGAATCCACAATCTTATTTCCTACTACCCATTCAAGCATTCCTTTGTGAGGAACCCAAGGACGGAAGTGATGTGTTTGGTTCCACATGTCGTTAATAACAGGGAATGCTAACCAGCCCTTCTTTTTGGATACTGTCACTGGAGAATGAAAATGTGTACGAGCAATCATTTGTTTTCCTCCTCCCCTCCTCTCCCTTCTTCTTCTTCTTCTTCTTCTTCTTCTTTTCTTCCTCTTCTTCTATATGGGTTAGAGATGAAATACATAGGAGGACTAATTTGTCGCTTGAGATCCGGCCTCTTCGACCCTTTGATAAACGAACGCCTATCTCCATGATTTAAGAAGAGACGAGGTAACATCTTTGCACTCCAAAATATGTGTCCGGTAAGAAGACAGGTTGATTGACCTACCACCTGTCCAGACGTCCATTGGGCCAACTTGATCAGTGAGTAATTGCGGACTGCGTTCGGCATTGCAGGCGGAGGAAAGATTTAGCCTGCTTACAAGGAACCGCATGGATGCTATGGTCAAAAATTAACCCACTGGAGAGAGTGCCAGCAGTGGCTCTTGGGCAGAGTATGCCGTCACAGGTAGGTGTTTCGTTGACCTAATTTGACATCAGTGGCTGAACTACCCAAGCACTCATGAATAAGATATACATACTCGATGGATCAACAAATGTCCTGATAAATCATTCAACATTTAGTCGCCTTGAGAAAATGCAAATATGCGGTGTTATATTCCCTCAAAACGGCTAAAACTACCACTAAAACAATATCTGTTAATTAAAAATCAACCAGCAATTAATTTAATACCTCATCTTTTTGGCCGATTAGCTTTAATCCAAACCGAGATCACATCTTGGATGCAAAGCGCCCTTCAAATGGACACGTTAATGATGCCGGAGCAGTGAACCAATCAGGTGAGGCGGTTAAGGGTGTTGTAGAAGCAGACCAGGCCAAAGAGGAGGCAAGTTCAAGATCTAATCGGACACTCAGATTGGGAATTTTGACCTACAGTCTGTGACCGCTATAAATGCGGCAATTTTTTACTGAATTAGGGGAGAATTATTTGTCTTGATGAATCTCACAATTTTGCAAATAATTAAGTCAAATGCAAAAAGATGAACTCGAGGAAAGAATGCCTCCTCTTTTATCACAGAGGAGTCAACTTTATGTCCGGTGACTTTTAATTGCATTTAGGGATTAAAATAACACCCCAGAGTATTTATTCCCAAAAACGCAGAATTTTTGGTGTAAAACATCCACCTCTGTGATATTGCTGGCCAGCATGGCCAAATGCCAGCTGAGTGGATCAAGTTATTTGAAAGAAGCTAGTGGCTTGCAGGTTCCACTGTTGGTCAAATTACGCCTAATTATAGTAGGAGTTTGCGTGACAGAGGCCATTTCGACATAGACTTGCGAAATGTCCTTCTAACCGCCCAACCGATCACCTCTCCACCTCTCCCCACCGAGTTGGTTTATCCCGATTCGATGGAGTTTTAGAGCTAAAAATATACCATATTTACGTATTTTTATATTTTTTAAAAGCAGGGAAGAAGTAAAGACAAGTCCATTTTATTCTGTGAAGAGGTGTTAGCGCTAGACGAAAATAGACTGGAGAATAATTGGACTGGCAGATGTAGGTGGTGTTTTATAAATGGACGAGATGCAGAATGCTGCTTGGGGTGCGTAATCCATGGAAATGGGTGTATTTGCCATCTATTAGTGCCCTTGTGCTTAACAAGCTACGAGGTTGTTGCGAATGTTACCTACTCTGCTTCGATTTGGCAGGTTTAAAGGCAGACATAGGTGCATTGAACTGTTCCGCGTGTCGTGGACTACTCCACCTCTCCAGTCGTGTGATAATACAACTGTCTGGCTCGGGGTGGAACACGGGTGATGGAGATGATGTGGGGGATGACCCAGCAAATCCACCGCTTTAGTCTCATAGAAAGTGAAAGTAGCGTTGTGGTGGGGTGAATCTATCAACCATGCCTTCCTCCTGATTGACTAGTCTTGACTGCTGTGGAGGGAGAGGTTATTTTTTCCTTCTACGACCTTCTGCTGCATCTAGCGTACACAC